GGTGTTGTTCAGCATGGGGGTGAGTAGAAAATGAAGGCTAATCATGTTTTGGGTGTACTATTCCTTTAACTTCACTTTTTGTGGCTCCTTTTATCTGTGGCTCCATGTTTAATCAGGCATCGCCATGTTGACCTTTGCTCTGCTGATGTCTGCGAGGATGGGCATTTTCCAGGAGACGCTCTACAAGCAGTACGGAAAGCACTCCAAGGAGGCGCTCTTCTATAACGTACGTGTTCCTCCTAACAGGTGAAAATGCAGAAGGAGGGAACCTCTCTCTGTTTTAGGAGGTTTTAACCGAACTCTGCGTTTGTTTTCAGCACTGCCTGCCTCTGCCCGGCTTCCTGCTTCTCTCCACAAACATCTACAACCACTGCATCCTCTTCAGTCAAAGCAGTGAGTTGGATTTGATTCATAGTCATGTGTTCAGTCATTCAACCATGTCTATTATTTATCTATTTGATTTTTTTTGCAGCTCCCGTGGTCGTTCCTGTGGTCGGAGTGACCATGCCGATAATGTGGCTCTACCTGCTGATCAATGTCATCACTCAGTATCCTGTCATTCTAATATTTATGGCCTCTAGAAAAAGCCTTTATCTACACCTTATAATACAACAAAAAATAGAGAGTTTAATAATGTAAAAAAATTAATTAAAGTTTTAGGTTATTAAAGATCATAGAAGATCCTTTGAAGATTTTTTGGACCCTTTTTAATAAGTGTTGTTGCAGACTTTAACCCTTTCTTCAGATACGTGTGCATCCGCGGCGTCTTCATCCTGACTACTGAGTGCACGTCGCTGACCGTCACCCTGGTGGTGACCCTCAGAAAGTTCCTCAGCCTCATCTTCTCCATCCTTTACTTCCAAAACCCCTTCACCGCCTGGCACTGGGTGGGCACCGCTGTGGTTTTCGTCGGCACCCTGCTGTACACCGAGGTCTGGAGCAGCGTGCGGGCAGCTCTGCGTGGGGACAAGGAGAAGAAGGCGGAGTGACCCTGATCCTCCTGGTCAAATAGTTTTTAAGCTCTCCTTTGGTAGATTTTATACAGTTCTGGACATTTTGCTTGCATACTTGATGACATCCTTTACAAACACAATCAAGTTGAAATGAGGTGCTGATGATATTCTGCTATTTCTGGGAACAAACATCATGAAAAGACCTAAAAATGGTGGAAAAGAATGATTTGCAATCCTCTCAGTTAGTTAAGGGTCATGACATTAAGAGTCGACTGTTTTTTTTGTTATAATATTTAAGTTTAGCAACTTGGGCCGCTTTATTAGTTAAACTGAGCTCAGGCTTATTGGACCATTTTTCTGGAGATCTTTCATTCTTGGTTCCCAACATTGGTGCCAGAAATATTCCTCTGAGATTTTATTGCTCTGTTGGATTTCGATCTGGAGAATAAATGGTCTATTAGAGAACACTGAACCTAAATTGTAAGATGATCTGAGCTTTATCCAGCTAGAAGTAGCCATCATTTCTACTCTGTCGTCATGTTAGGATAATACGGAAGAGGATTAGGGCCACTGAAAAAAAAAGTTAACTGATTTTTAAATTTTATTTTAGTTTAACATGGGGAAAAAAGTCAGAATTCTGACTTTTTTCTCAGGATTCTGACAGCTAACAAACATGTTAGCATCAAGCCATAGCTATGTCTGTTTTAGAGACTAGCTCTCATGTTTTAATGACCTTCTGCTCTTCAATTAATGAGGGAACCCCTCGGGCACGTAAAAAGTTGCCTAATTCCATCATTTTCCACCAATGTGTTCCCGTTCCTCTCAAATAACTCACATCTTTGTCAGTGAAGCTGATTGCTCCCACATCTCTTCCTTCATGGTGCCCATCTACATTAAGATCCAAAATTCTGANGATTAGGGCCACTGAAAAAAAAAGTTAACTGATTTTTAAATTTTATTTTAGTTTAACATGGGGAAAAAAGTCAGAATTCGAACTTTTTTTTCTCAGAATTCTGACAGCTAACAAACATGTTAGCATCAAGCCATAGCTATGTCTGTTTCAGAGACTAGCTCTCTTGTTTTAATGACCTTCTGCTCTTCCATTAATGAGGGAACCCCTCGGGCACGTAAAAAGTTGCCTAATTCCATCATTTTCCACCAATGTGTTCCCGTTCCTCTCAAACAACTCGCATCTTTGTCTGTGAAGCTGAGTGCTCCCACATATCTGCCTTCATGGTGCCCATCTACATTAAGATCCAAAATTCTGAGATCAAAGTCAGCATTCGGAGAAAAACGTCAGAATTCTGACTTTTTTCCCATATTAAACTGAAATAAAATTTAAAAATCAGTTAACTTTTTTTTTTTCAGTGGCCCTAATCCTCTTCCGTAGGATAAACCTTTTTTTGTTCTTGTTGATTGAGATATTTAAATGCTTAATGTATTAAAGGTTTCAATGGATGTTAAGGAAATCCTTCCTACGCTCTCCTGCATATATTAAGTCTGAATTGTTGATATATGCAGGTTTCTGACTCTACTATGTGAATGTTGCAGCTTTAATTGGTCTCTGCTTGTAGCCTCAGTTTGTGGTTTTCAGCTGGCAGTACCTTCACAGATGGCATCGCGTTTATTTAAGCGTCCAGATTCCTTTCTAACATCTTGAACCTGTTTCCCATCCAAGTGTCAGCTGTCGTTCTAACGCTGGGCTCAGACTTCATGAAGTCATCCTCTCCATGTCTCAGTGCATTAAGTTTCTGCATTGTGATTGGCTGAATTGTCATTTGTAGTAACAAGCATTAAACTGGCAGTGCTGGTGCTTTTACGTTGTTCAATTTCAAACAATCCTCCGGGTTTATATGCTTCTAAAAATTGAACAGGAGAATGTAACAGTTCTCAGTCTGGATCTTACACTGCAAAAACAATCTAGACCATCTAGAAATAAGTAAAAATTTCTTAAATTAAGTGTATTTCCCCTTAATTTGAGCCTGTAAATGAGATGATTTGCCAATTGAATGAGTAGCTTTGCTCTTAAAATAAGATAATTAGATAATATGCACTTGAAATAAGACAATGAAATTGTTTTTTGCTTATTTTAAATGTAAATTGTCTTGTTCCATTGGCAAAATGTCTCACTTACCACCTAAATTCAAGAAAAAATGCACTTTTTTAAGAAAAAAATACTTATTTAGATTTCAATTTGTTTGCAGTGTATGTGATCCTTATGATGGTCGTTGTTGAGGTAAAACATAACAAAAAAGTTCTAATCCACGTAGAGAAGTTTGGCCAACAAAATATCAAATAGCTTTTCATCCTTGCAGAGGCTGATATGACATCTGATTAAAGTTTTGATCTTCTGTCCCTAAAGCCTCTACTTCTCAATGCACTCCATGCTCACCCTATTCTTCCCAGACTTACTTCTTAGCAGGTTGTTTTGATTTTACTCAACGCGTCTGTTCACTTTACATCAAACTTTGGCTTTAATGTCCCAATATCTACACCGAGGACCCAGGTTGGTTCGATCTGTCTTAATAAAAAGAGACTAAGATGAAATGTGATTATATAAACTAATGATCATAAACTCCTAAGGGGCGGACCTGTTCTTCTGATTCAATTTGCATGTTTTCTAAGCCAAATCAAGTCTTTGAGCTACTATATAAAACTTCAAACTCTTATTCTGACGTTTTAATTTGAAAAAGCTTCCTGGATGGGAAGCGAAACGTCTTTAAACTTGGAAACCAGTGGATTGTTTTTGGTTTTTTACCTTTTTTGGAATTATAAATTAGATTTGAGGCACATGTGGGTGAAATGTGGCCATATTGAGGTGATGGATACTATGTAGAAATGTGCTTAATGTCTGTTTGCAGTCCAACCACCTCCTAAACATACAGTACATACATTTAATCCACCCATGTGGGTCCAATTTGAGCCAATTTTGTGCCTAAATGTAGCTAACATGTTGGCTCAGTTCAAGACATTCTTCAATCTCCTGTTCATCAGAGTCATCTGGTGGCTGTAAGGACAGAGAAGATCCACACATGTAGAGGGAGGACATGTTAACTGATTGCAAACAGACCCTCTTTCTAAGAGGCTGCCATGTCTTTTCATGAATTTTGTTGTCTTAAATCAAATGTCACCAGACCTACGGTACCTTCTTTCTACCGCCTGTACCTCTGTAGCATTCATTTATTGATGGTGCAGTTTATTGCTCTGAACTATGTGCTGCTTAGATATTTTATGAGTGTGAAGTTAACCTGAACCCTTTACTGAATCATGACTATCCAGGTTATTTTGAACCGTTGTTTGTCAACAATCTCTGCACTCCAAGTGCTCTGAAATTAAACAGTTTTTAATAAATTGCTTCCTTTCATTGTGTTTTTAATGTTGCATGAAGGGTTGTTGATTTTTTTTTTTTTTTCCACATCCATTACTGGGACAGAAAGTTCTCTCATGCCTGACTGGTTTTGAATAAGCATTGGACCAATCAGCACAGCAGAGGATCAGCTCCATCCAATGGCAGAGCTGGTTGTTTCCACGAAGAGGTGGGAGAGGCAGCTTGGAGCAGTGGATCCACGCTGTCAGTATGGAGTAAATCTAGAAACACACTCCAGGACAGAATCAGCAGGATCCGATGGGGGGAAACAATCCAAGCCGCTGCTCTGTGGAGGATGAAGAAGGAGGAGGAGTAACCTTTATAAAAGGCATAAGGGTGAGTGGGAGCTGCAGGGAAATTAGGTGAAACCAAGGATTCTGCATCACAGCTGAGGTTACATTCGGTTTAGTTTCCACAAAGCGTGTCCTGATGGTGTGATTGTGAGACAATCTGACAGCCTCCAGCTCCATACTGGTAAATATAGACCCAGCTCGTCTCTCAGCACATTGAGAAAGTAATCATGCGTGAATGTTTTCACATTTTGTCCAACAAGCATAAGGTGTTTTATGTAAACAATCTTAACATGTTTGTTTATTTATATACTTTATGCTTTAGTAGCTGCTGCAAGCATGGGAGGTTCTAAACAACGGCCCACAGGGGCCAACGCCCCTATAGAACTGAGCCTGATGTTTATAATAATAAAGAAATGACAAATTTCTTTATCATATTTGCTGCGATATAGTTATTAATGGGGCCTTTTGGCCCATTTTAATGCATTTTGTTTTTCTTACAGTTCTGTTTTAACTAGGATTGTAAAATTATAGTTAGTTTCTATTATATTGAGATAGGATCCCAGTTTTTATTTGCTAAATATCATTTTTAACAAATAAAAAAAGTATACTAATATTATTATTGGTTATTATTGTGATATTTCGTTATTTGCAGAGAGTCAGGTGAAGAAGGCAGCTTTCGGGGAATTTACTTGACAGAGTCAACACTACATAAAACATAGGATGTTTCTCACTATGTGTACTTGTGCGTTCTCATGTGCTCGTGTAACGTCATCAGCCTCAGCCCTAGTACTGTTCCAGTTCACAAGAACAGCAGGCCGAGAACGGACAAAGTCCCTGGATGTTGTCCTCCTTCCCTATCTACAGAGTATGCATCAGAGCAGACATGTCCGTTCTTGAGATTGACAGCTATCCAAGCATGCACTGCGACAGCTTTCAATGGAGCGCTCACATAGCTCAGAGTATTAAGTTAAAAGTTATTTTTTCTGTTGCCGTTGTTCAATAAAAGATTTAAGATCATATGAGGCAAGACCATTATACTTTTAAGCATCACCATAAGGCCCATTTATCGATTTAATGCGTACTTTAAAACAAAATTTCCGAAGTTGAGAGGACAGCGACAACCAGCGGACCTCCGAGGGAAACAGCAGCCAGGGCTAACCGTAACCTGTCTGCAGCAATCCTCTCCCAGCATAGCCGTTTGTGAAGGTTCACTGGCTCTGATGGCAATTTTTGTTTTATTTGGCAAAATGTTCATTTGATTTGTCTTTATCTGACTGTGTTCACTATTATTCCCCAAATAAAAGTCAGAATTTATTATTATTCAATTCAGTTTATTTCTATAGCGCCAATTCACAATCCATTTCATCTCAAGGCACTTTACAATTCACCAGATCATACAGTCAAATTGATTCAAAGTTTTCTATCTAAGGAACACCAACTGGTTGCATTTACTCTTCAGCAATCCCTCACACTAAGCATGCTTCTAGCTTCAGTGGAGAGGAAAAACTCCCTTTTAACAGGAAGAAACCTCCAGCAGAACCAGGCTCAGTGTGAGCGGCCATCTGCTGAGGCTGACTGGGGTTCAAGGAGACAGAAGCAGAGATACAAAAAGCAGGAAACACACAGCCAGGCAGACGAGCTGCGAGCCAACTTCCATGTCAGAGGATGAAGAGAGCAAATCCAGCCAGTCACAGTCAGAGAAACAGGACTACACTGGAAAACAGGCTGATCTCCAACATCTATAAATAAAGGTGTTGATGGCAGCATGACAGCTAATATTTCTCTCCAGGATGGAGTCACAGCCAAACAGGAACAAACAAGGCAAAGCTACTTTGAGAAAAAGCAGAGAGAGCAGAACGTTAGAGATTGAACTAACTGATTCTGCAGAGTAGGCTTAGACTTCTGGAGGACCTAGGGACCCCCCATTTCATCATTCTGCTTCATTCTATCTCTATTCTCCAACGCTGCATCTCTCATCAGTACGCTTCTGTTCCAATTGACCCATATTTATGCATGCTCCTGAGCCCTACTGTTGAACTAGTACTAGATTTAGTGTGGTTCGGTTGTATCTGGCACGGTCCAGTTTCATTTACACTCAACCGTTATCTCGGTTACCGTGCTCTGACCGCTCTAGGCACGGTTTCAAAAGGGTAGAGTAAATGCGGCATAAGTCTAATTGTACAGAGACGGTCTGTGATTATTGATTTCACCGTCTTGGACTCAGGTCATTGTAAAATCATTACTTGTAAATGTCACCAGGAGGTGGCGCTCCTATCAAATTAGTTCATGTATGTCTTTTGTCCTCCCCAGCTTTCAGACAGAGTAATCAACCGGATGAAGCTTTCCTCCAAGGCCAGCTATCACCTCTCACCTGAACCACAAACCCAGGAGGGCGCCCCCATTCCTGCCCCATCGGCTGAACAATTGTTACCTCTCCTGACTCCATCACCTCCAACCATACTCACTCCTCCCACTCCCACACAGGAAGCTGTCCCCACCCCTCCTCCTGTGAAGCTCACCCCCCCTCCTCCTGTGAGGTTCCACTCCCTTCCTCTGACCTCACTGGATTCTGCATCAACGCCTCCATCTGCCTCTTCTTTAAAGACTGAAAACAGTGAAGCGTCTGAATCTCTCACTCCACCATCTGCAGAAGAACCAATAGCCCCTCCACCTGAATCCACCTCAGCTCATAAAGAGACACAGACTACACCTCAGATCAAAGAAGAAATAAAGAAACCACTCATTATCGCCCAAAGCGGGAAGCCAGCTGATCCTCCTAAATCTGCTGCTAGATCGTCTCCACAAAGCCAAACCATTGAGGTTTCTACGAGTTTTGAGTCTCAACCAGTTAAACCAGTAACCTCAGACCAAGCTTTGGCCAGGTCCTCTCCCTCAGAAGCACAGGCGGCTCCTGCTGCAGAACTACATTCCACCTCATCTCCATCTCCTCCAGACCCGTCTGCAGATGGATCCGCACCGTCATGTCAGTCTGAAATGGTCCACAGCCATAAACCTGGAAATGTGCAGCTGCAAGCATCACCTCCTAATGCACCAGCTAGCCAACCTGACACTGCGCCACCACCTGCAGCAGGTTAGTGAACTTTTATTTTCTTTCTAAGCAGAGGTGGTTACTTTACTACTTGTGTATTGCTGTGCTCCTTCAGGTGGTATGCGTTATTGTTGTTATGGTTAGGGATGCACGATATAATCGGCCCCCTATCGGTATCGGCCTTAAAATTGAATATCGGACATCGGCCACCCCACCGATATTCAATTTTAAGGCCGATACCG